GCCAAACGACCCCCATTCCAAAGGGGGGGACCCGTTCATCCGTTTCTATTTGCATGTTTTCTAAACTAAAACCAGGCTTTGTTGGGCTGCTGGATAAAACCTGGAACTAAACGCTATTTCTGACATTTTGAATCGAAAAATCTTCCTGGATGGAAGAGAAACATCTTCAAACTGGGAAAAAAAGTTTCCTAATCTTACCTAATCTTAAAGCAGAATGTCTAAGAGCCGTCCTGAATGCAGGTGCATGTGCACCCAGGCGTGACTTCAACTTAAGCACAGTTCACATCTCATCCACTTAGGAGCCTCTTTATTTAGCCCCTGTTAGCAGCTTTAGCCTCTGTTAGCAGCTTTAGCCTCTGTTAGCAGCTTAGCGGCTGAGGCAGCCTGTCAGTGGCAGTCTATTCTTTTTGTTAACGCTGAAGAATAAATCAGGATTATTTTCTACAATCTTCTATACAAACACGGCCTCGTAAAGTCATCCAGAGACGGTGAAACCCGTTTCTTTCAAAGGTCACGTAGTGAGTCAAATAAAGTCCACCTGTTTGAAACCTAAGAGTCAATCTGTCAGCGTTAACACACCTGTTCTGAAACACCAGTGATGCTGCCTTCATGCGCTAAAGATGGTCATTTGTAAAGTGTAAATGACCAGCGTTGTGTTGTGGTAGAGAAGAGAAACATGTTGGATCCAAAGATTATCCTGACCTGCTACCTGGCAAAGACAGTTAAACTTCCTGGTTCATCTGCTACAGGAAGAAGACGATGCATCAAAAGCACTGACTGATCGCTAATTGGCATCTGATAAAAATCAAACCATAACAGTTATTTTAAAAATGAGACAAGTTCAAATCATGATACATATACACACATATATATATATATATATATATATATATATATATATATATATATATATATATATATATATATATATATATATATATATATATATATATATATATATATATATATATATATATATATATATCTACTTTAAAGCTATAGAGGACGATCTTTTAATTCCGGGTGGATCATCCATATAAGTGGTCCTCCTAACTGTCAATCATTCTGGTGAAATGTTTACGTAAGGCCATCCAACACTGCAAAAATTTTAATCTAAATAAGTAATTTTTTCATAAAATACGTGCATTTGGCCGTGAAATGAGGGAATTTACATTTAAAATGATAAAAATCCAATTGTATTGTCTTATTTCAAGTGCATAATATCTAATTTTCTTATTTTAAGAATAAAAAAAACTCATTGCATTGGCAGATCATCTTATTTACCTGCTCAGATTAAGAGTAAATACAGTTAATTTAAAACATTTTTACTCATTTTTAGATAGTTTTTGTAGCGTACGTGCTCATACAATTAGCTATCTTTCTCTGCGTACTTTCAGGCATAGATCTGTGGTGAGCTACGGTTTCAGACAGTCATTGAAGCTGAAATTGAAAATGGCCGAGGGTCGTAAGAAAGGTAGTGATTGTTAAGTGCATGAGAAAAAAAGAAAGGTCTCAAAAGAGGCAGATATATCCCAGAATGCTTTGCCCGGAGAGCTCTCCTCCTTTGCTGTCACAGCGGCCCGCCATCGCCATAGGCTGTCGCTACCTGACAGCAGCGACTAATAACAAAGATGGCAACTGAATCTTCTGCTGGGCCGGGTCAAAGCAGCACCTCCTGCTGCTCCTCGCTCTACTGACTCAGCTCCATGAAGGAGGAGTGGCCACCTCGCAGTCCAAGCCGGGTTAGCTGGCAGCAGTGGAGGAGGACTTCAAAAAAAAACTTTAAAATCAATCCACTGGACTTTGTTTGCAAGTTTGAAGACGTTTCTCTTCCATCCAGGAATATTTTTCAATTCAAAATGTCAGAAATAGCGTTGAGTTCCAGGTTTTATAAAGTGGACAAAAACAAACCCTGGTTTTTGTTTGGAGGAGGAGTCACGTGACCAACAGAGCAAAAAGCAGTGATCATCTGTCTGATTGGTCAAGCACGATCCGTACCATCAGCTTATTTGCACAACCAGATATACATCCAGGTTTCTATAAATAATGTAATTATGGTACTAAAATTACTTTTTTTTATCATTGAATGCTAAAGAATGTTAATACATATCTTTAAAAATGTTTATTTGTTTAAAATATAATTTCTTGATGCTTTTTCAATTTTCTTTGTTAAACTGCTTCTGTGACATCATCATGGGACATGCTCAGAGCAGTCCGGCTAAATATGATTAAATCATGTTTATCTGCATTTTGGTTGTTTCTTTCTTTAGATTATGCACTTTATACCATAATGTTAACAGGAAAGGAAAACATAAAACTAAAAAAAAGACTAGATAATGTTTAAATCCAAAGCTGAAAGTTAGCTCCTGGAAGTAGCGTAGGATCCCATTTCTGGAACAGATCAGACAGAGAAGACTGATAAAATAAATATTTTCCCATGAAATACATTTCTAACCTTTAACACAGTATAGTTTCTTTTTTCTTTTTTTTTTTTGTCCTTCCGCTGTCACAAGTACAGAGCAACAAAATTCCCTCTCTCCCTTTAACCCCTCCCCTTGGGGAGCAGTGGGCTGCCATTGTGCGGCGCTCAGGGAGCAGTGTGGGGTTAAGGGTCTTGCTCAGGGACCCAGAGTGGCAGGCTGTGGGAGTGCCCTAACCACTAGGCCGCCGCTCACCTTATAGTTTAATACGTTTACTATTGCTGGGGAGTGAAAAATGTACTTTAGGTATATTTTACAAAATAAACTCGAGGGCAACCTGGATGTATATCTGGTTGCGCTGATGAGCTGATGGTAGCCTACGGATCGTGCTTCCGGGACGGAGCGGCTAGTGATATTTATCACCCGGAATCGTTTCGCTGCTCTCCGCCATGATGAAAATCAAAGTTTACCTCATCTCAGCAGCTTGGGTATCAGAATGTTCTCCGCTTTCCAGTGGAAGTTCATGTCAGCTTTTGGTATTTACCGTAATAATGAACCACATGAAGGCACCATAAGCTACAGGCAACATAATCTATTAAACAATCAATTAAACAATTCATAGACAAGGCTAATGACACATAAAAGTTGTGGGGTTATGATAAAATATCTATTTTTTTTTCTGTTCCCATTGCTGGGCCATAAACCATGATATTAATTCTAGACATTAATTCTAGACATTGGCGACTAATGACCATCCTGATATTAACTGTGATCATTGATTGAGGAAGATGCAGTCGGCTCTGTATCCCCTCTCATCGAGTCACTACCACAAGGACATGTGATCCTGCCCCCCAGGATGCATTAAGGCAAAACAATCAGCTCAAAGGAACTCTCTCTGATGCTCCACTGAGGATCACATCGGTTTAGACGTCATCATGGAAGGCCACTTGTAGAGGACCAGGATCTGCAGACTGTTCAAAGGTCTGGTGACTAAGTTGTTGGGGCTGAGATTGGGGCCGGTGTGTTGTCAAATATCCCCCAAACAAAAAATACTCACAGGTCCAAAGGGGGACATTCAAAGGGCCCCCAAATGGTAAAGCCTTCTTCTTTGAGTTGGGTTAGGGTGTATAAAATGAATTAAAGTTGGTGAAAGGTCAGGCAAACAGAGGCTTTATGTGTGTGTGTGTGTGTGTGTGGGTGTGTGTGTGTGGGTGTGTATTGCCATGCATTTGTTTCAATTGTTTATGGACTTGTAGGTACCTGTGGAGACCAACAACTCGTCCCAATGAGGAGAAGTTCTCTTCTTGGGTTGGAGGTAATTTGAGGACCAATGTGTGGATTGAGTTCAGGTTAGGTATGTTTTGCTAATGTCACCCAGGAGAGAAATATCAGCTGTGCTGCTGCCATCAACACCTTTGTTTCTAGATGTTGGAGCTTGGCCTGTTTTCCAGTGTAGTCCTGTTTCTCTGACTGTGACTAACTGGATGTGCTCTCTTCATCCTCTGACATGGGAGCTGGCTTGGAGCTCGTCTGCCTGGCTGTGTGTTTCCTGGACGGGGCCGCCTGTGGAGCTGGTTGACAGTTGCCTTTTGTATCTATGCTTCTTTTTCTATGTCTGCTTCTGTCTCCTTGAACCCCAGTGGGCCTCAGCAGATGGCTGCTCACACTGAGCCTGGTTCTGCTGGAGGTTTCTTCCTGTTCAAAGGGAGTTTTTCCTCTCCACTGTCGCTACAAGCATACTTAGTGTGAGGGATTGCTGAAGAGTCAATGAGTCGATGCAATCAGCTGGTTTTCCTTAGATAGAAAACTTTGAATCAATCTGACTGGATGATCTGCTGAACTGGAAAGTGACCTGAGATGACATGATGTGGATTCCCAGCCTCGTGAGACCATCCTGATCTCGCGAGCTTTCAAGGTTTCACTCGCTAATCAGTCTGGAGACTCTCCGTTAGAGAAAATTTGGAGCCGTTCACCAAACGAACGTCCAATCAGCGTTGGCTTTGAGGCGGGTTGAGGTGTGACGCAACGAGAAGCGCGACAGTTCAGTCTAAAGAACATGGCGGCTTCAGCCGATGAAACTAGCGTTAGCGTGGCTATCGAGCAAGTTTTATGGGAATTACAGAGTATTTCTTCACTGAAAGAAGAGCAAAACACTGCTCTGGAGGCTTTTCTCAGAGGAAAAGATGTTTTTGCTCTTCTCCCAACTGGTTTCGCCAAGAGTAGCCTGGCTTGTGGTTGTGTTTTCGTCATCGCTCTGTTATTACGTGATATGCTTCGTTGATCTGATTGGTTTATTTGGCCCGTCTATCACCAACATAGGCCAATCAGCTAACCAGTATTTTCGCCCCTTCCCAAAATTACTTCAACGGAAGGTTTCCAGATGGATATGCGGAGCAAATCCATCTGGCGGAGTCAGGTTAGTGAATTGGCGCTATAGAAATAAACTTAATTAAATTGAAAATATTTATGGTCTTGATTAAACCATAGAAGAAGAATGCAATATGAACGGAAGTCAATAAAAGTCCTCACAAGGATAGTGTGATACAATGTGTGTATGAGGGGTATGCACCCCAGTCTCACCGGTGATGGCATGTGGGATTGTGTTCACATTCAGTTTCTGCTCTGACCCTTTGACCCCGGTCTTTGGGTCCTGCATCTCCACCACAATGGCATCGAGCTGTAAGACAGAAACATTTCCAAACATGTAAACTGACTGATAAATGCATCCACAGCCAAACGCCATGAACATTAAGGTGATGCCTCACGAGGATGGTGAACCCAGTTACTAAATAAGCACGTTGGAGGTTGATATTTCTACATATTCCACACCTTAGAGATCCTTCCTTCATTCGACCATCAGCATGTCCCTTCAGGGATCAACTGGTGTTTTGATCTGAACTGAGTTAATATTAATTAATACATTAATAAAGTGAATGTAATTGGTCGATTATCAAGGGGGCGGGATTGTTGTGGCGGAAGGTTCACAAGCAGTTTGGTTGAGACCGGTTTGATGGAAGCATCTTGCTAACCAGTTAGCAACTTAGTGCTAGCAGGTTCCCAATGGGAAATTCCATTGGGACCAAGTAGCACTAAATTGGTGACTTAGAAACGACGCTGTCAAGGAACGCTATGGACAGCGGAAACATGCAAGAGGAGGAGAGTTTAGTGTCGGAGGTCGTGGATGAGTCTCCTCCGTCATCCATTTGTTATTTAGAGCAGGAAAGCGGGGACAAAGATGTTGTGGAAGAGGACGCCAGGGCGGCAGAAGCTTGGTTTGGTGTAGAAGGCTTCCAGCCGTACATGTTTGAGCCCTTGCCTCGCAACGCTGCCAGTATTGTTAGCTCTACGCCTGCCGAAGACACAGACGTCCATCCCCGTGAACACTGGGACGCAACTCAATGGGAAAGGAAAGGATTCTGATTTCAACCGTTGCGTATATTAGCTGCGACACATGAATCAAGATGCTATGACCGAAAAAATGTGATTGACAGATGGCCGTTGATATATGATTGGCTGAATTTAGGTGTTCAGGCTGACGTAGAACTAACTGGCCTGCAGAAGATAATGAAAAAACACAGATTTTAAGCCATTTTTTTTTATATAATTTTTCTTTTCTGACAATATGGTCTGATAAATATTTATATACATATTTAAGCCAGAATGATTTGATATTTAAATATGGCTTCCCTGGGCGTGCAGGTGGAACAGTGGTTAGTGCGCATGACATGATGATGTAGAACAAATGGAATACAATGAGACCTGCCTTTTCTCAATCATGTCTTTATTACTGCCGTTCTAAAAAGACCTATCATTTTCGAGAGTAAAAAGGTCATGTTTAACGTGCAGGTAGAGCAGTGGTTAGAGCGCACAACCCATGTATGGAGGGTTTGAATCTGGCCTGTGGTCCTTTGCCGCATGTCTCTTCCCCTCTCTCAGCCCCCTTTTTCCTGTCAGCCTACTGTCAGAAAAACGAGCCACTAGTGCAGTAAAAACTAAACAAACCTCATCTATACGGCTACCCTTCCTGACAGTAATAGTAATCAATAGCAGTGGTAGAAATAACGGCAGCAGTAATGTCTCTAGTAAGTCTGATGATGCCACTAAACACCATGAACCATCATGTCTCCTTATTTAAGCCGGCCGTACATTGTACAATTTTTTTGCCCTTTTCAGGCCGATTCTCCAGTCGTGCGAGAATTTTTCAATCGGGCTGACTTTCAGCCTGATGGTGCGTGGTGTAGAGACCAGGGGGGGTAACGACAGGCGATCAGCCTCTAACGACCACCCCCCCCATCAGGAATCATAAGGTCAGGAGAAAATCAAACATGTTTGAAATTCAGTCGGCCGTCGTAAGGTGGTCGTGGACAAATCGCTCAGTGGGCAAACAAGGATTCTTCTTCTTCCTCTCAGAGGAAAACACAGAAGCATGGCGGGGGGGCAATGACAGACCGTAGTAGCCATGTTTGCTCAGCCATGTCTTTGTCCAAATACGGTTTGGTCGTACAGTCTGAGCTGTATCTGCGTGCAACCATTGGAAAAATCGTACAGTGTACGCCCGGCTTTACAAACTGGAGCAGAAAACAAAGACCACAGTTTTCTGTCAGAATCCTCGTTCGTCCCGCCATCACTCATTAACAAGACACCAAGATAGTTCAACTCTTGGGGCAAAAACCAACAATCCAATGGAAGCAGTCAGTCCAGCTCTGGTGAAGCGCCACGTCGTTAGACTTGGACTCTCAATCCAGCTGTTTCAGACTTATCTCTATTCAGAGTATCGTGTCATGAAGAGACCAACAGAACCAAATCGAACCAAAACAAATCATTAAAAAAAAGGATAACTGATATCCTGAGGTTAACTAAGTAGACCTAATCCTCCTCGATACCTATGAGATCAGTAAACAACAGGAAAGGTGCCCTATCAGGGTATTAAAAGACAAAGCTCTTGGTTTAGGTGTTTCAGGGCTGGTTAGTCCTCTGTATCACTCAGATACTTTATACTCCCTATAAAACCTGAAGGTCTCCTACCTCAAACTAGCAAAATCGTCATTGATGATCTGCGGATCTCTGGCTCCCTAAGCCCAAAACTACATGAGATCCACTGAAGCCGCTTGCTTGAATGGGTCGACAGGATCCAGGAGGATCCAGGAAGACATAAGACCATCCAGAATAATTCAGGAGGATTGAGGATGATTCAAGATGACCCAGGAGGACATAGGAGGATCCAGTAAGATTCAGGAGGAGCCAGGAGGATCTGGCAGGATTCAGAAGGACTTAGAACAATGCAGGTCTGCATGGATGGACTGCAACACAGCTTTCTCCCCATGGCTGAGAAAGAAACTGCTGTAGGAACAAACACTACTACCTCCCGTTCCAAAATATGGACCACTGCAAAGGTTTAACACAAACCTTCCATCAATCATCCAGGAGGATCCAGGTCTATAGAGATACTGCCATACATAACTTTGCTGAGTAATATTATTCTGAATAAATCCCCCCCCCCCTTGGTCATGAACTCTGACTGCAGAGCAGCTAATTGGCTTTAAAGTGGAATTAAAGATTATCTTTGGAAACCTGCTGCTGTTCTCCTGGCTAAGCTGAAAGCCTTAAGGAAACACATGCATCAGGTTTCCCCACAAAACTAACCAGAACCAGCTGATTTCCAGTGGGAATGGCTTCCTGCTGATAAACTGCTGGTTGGGAAGGTAGAAACCAACAGAAGGACTAACCTGTAGACAACAAGCCTAAATTACTAAATGACACATATTACAACCAGAGTTTAAAGGTATTTACAGCATATGAACACAATCAATAGCTCAGATGACCAAAAGCAGCAGGACTTTGACCCACCTTTTTGAGGCAGTGCGTACGCGGCCTGAAATGCTGCCCCCTGTTCGGACGCGCCGTTCTGATTGTCATACCTGCTCCCTGATCAAAACCACATCAGACTGAGTCAAATTAAATATCGGAGCGACACGTCCAAGCTTTAATGGTTGCAGAGAGACGAGTGAGTGCATGCAGAGGAACGAATGCGCTCCTGCTGAGCAGATTACAGGAAGTTAATCCACCAATCAGCAGTCAGATAAACCCCCAGTGATTCCAGTAAAAAGCCAGGCTGGGAGGATACTAGGCTGTTGGCAGTAGCTTCAGCTTTAATGAACTCTAGATGAGGCTGTTTTTCCGTCTTTACTTCAGCTTCCTAAGGTGGGAAAATATTAGACTAAATAGTTGGTTCCCCTCATTTGGTGAAAGAAAACCTACAATTAAATTCTATTCAGTTTATTTCTATAGCTCCAATTCACATCATGTCATCTCAGGTCACTTTCCAGTTCACCAGATCATCCAGTCAGATTGATTCAAAGTTTTCTATCTAAGGAAAACCAGCTGATTGCATCGACTCATTGACTCTTCAGCAATCCCTCACACTAAGCATGCTTGTAGCGACAGTGGAGAGGAAAAACTCCCTTTGAACAGGAAGAAACCTCCAGCAGAACCAGGCTCAGTGGAGTCTGGCCTATTTTCCAGTGTAGTCCCGTTTCTCTGACATTTTGTTGGGATCCTCAGGCTTGCCCACCAGAGGGCGCCGAGGATCCTCTTCTGCTCTCTTTTTGTCTCTTTGTCTTAGGGCTGGAGTCACTCTCAGGTTCTGGAGTTTACCCTCTGCCTCCAGCAGAGTGCGCCGTGGGTCCTCCTGAGCTGAGCCTCTCACACACCTGTGGCTGATCTACTAATCAGGAGGACCACAGTATTTAAGCTACCTCCAGACCTGGATTCCACGCCGCAGTGTTGATCTTAGTTGGTTAGCTTCCTTAACCTTCCGCTATAGACTGAGTCTTGGTTATTCCTAGGTTGAGACCAGATTCTAATCTCTCCTTATCTGTGCCTCACAGGAATCCTGTCTCCTCGTGAAGCTCTGGACGAGCTTAACCTCCTGTCTCCTCGTGAAGCTCTGGACGAGCTTAACCTCCTGTCTCCTCGTGAAGCTCTGGACGAGCTTAACCTCCTGTCTCCTCGTGAAGCTCTGGACGAGCTTAACCTCCTGTCTCCTCGTGAAGCTCTGGATGAGCTTAACCTCCTGTCTCCTCGTGAAGCTCTGGATGAGCTTAACCTCCTGTCTCCTCGTGAAGCTCTGGACGAGCTTAACCTCCTGTCTCCTCGTGAAGCTCTGGACGAGCTTAACCTCCTGTCTCCTCGTGAAGCTCTGGACGAGCTTAACCTCCTGTCTCTTCGTGAATCTCTGGATGAGCTTAACCTCCTGTCTCCTCGTGAAGCTCTGGACGAGCTTAACCTCCTGTCTCCTCGTGAAGCTCTGGATGAGCTTAACCTCCTGTCTCCTCGTGAAGCTCTGGATGAGCTTAACCTCCTGTCTCCTCGTGAAGCTCTGGATGAGCTTAACCTCCTGTCTCCTCGTGAAGCTCTGGATGAGCTTAACCTCCTGTCTCCTCGTGAAGCTCTGGATGAGCTTAACCTCCTGTCTCCTCGTGAAGCTCTGAACGAGCTTAACCTCCTGTCTCTTCGTGAATCTCTGGATGAGCTTAACCTCCTGTCTCCTCGTGAAGCTCTGGACGAGCTTAACCTCCTGTCTCCTCGTGAAGCTCTGGACGAGCTTAACCTCCTGTCTCCTCGTGAAGCTCTGGACGAGCTTAACCTCCTGTCTCCTCGTGAAGCTCTGGACGAGCTTAACCTCCTGTCTCCTCGTGAAGCTCTGGACGAGCTTAACCTCCTGTCTCCTCGTGAAGCTCTGGACGAGCTTAACCTCCTGTCTCCTCGTGAAGCTCTGGACGAGCTTAACCTCCTGTCTCCTCGTGAAGCTCTGGACGAGCTTAACCTCCTGTCTCCTCGTGAAGCTCTGGACGAGCTTAACCTCCTGTCTCCTCGTGAAGCTCTGGACGAGCTTAACCTCCTGTCTCCTCGTGAAGCTCTGGATGAGCTTAACCTCCTGTCTCCTCGTGAAGCTCTGGATGAGCTTAACCTCCTGTCTCCTCGTGAAGCTCTGGATGAGCTTAACCTCCTGTCTCCTCGTGAAGCTCTGGATGAGCTTAACCTCCTGTCTCCTCGTGAAGCTCTGGATGAGCTTAACCTCTTGTCTCCTTGTGAATCTCAGGAAGAGCACCCTCACTGGAACCCAGTCTCTGGTCTGCAGCTCTGGAGGAGCTGCATCTCAGGAAACCAGTCTCAAGCCTGAAGCTCTTGGAAAGCCTAGCCAGCTAATCTGCCCTGGTGAGCCAAGCCGAAGATTTCTACTTGGATGCAACCTGACGACTTCTCCGTGGAGTTTCCCTAGAGGTTCCCATGAAGATCTTCCCCTGTTGTTCCCTGCCACGAGCTGGAAGCTCAAATCCTGCCTTCTCCCTTTCCCTGCACAAACCCCAGTGAACCAGTCCCCTGCCTGTATTGTTTTCATTATAATCCATGTGCTTGTCTTAAAATAAACTCCTTGGACTTTTACCAGTGCCTCCGTGAGTGTTCTGCATCTTGGGCTTTACTCTAAGAAAACCCATCATGACACATTTAGGAAGTCAGTGTTTGCTGCATCTACCGGGGAGGAGGGTGTGTTGTAGTCTGTGATCATCCGAATGCATTTCTACATCCTCCTGGTGATGCTGTCTTCTTGGAAAAAATCCTGGAGAGAAGAGAGCGTTCTGAGCAGCTGTCTCACTGTGTGGTGTGGAGGCTGCAGCGCCTCAGACTGGAAGAAGGTGAGAACAGCAGAGAGGATCATGGGGGCTCCTCTTCCCTCCATTAAAGACATTTCATCCCAGCGCTGCGTGTCCCGAGTCCGTGACATCATCAATGACCCCCCCACCATGGACTGTTCTCCCTGCTGCCCTCTGGGAAGAGGCTTCACAGCATTCAATGCAGGACCAGCAGGTTCCTATAAGTCTATGATCTTTAGATTTAGGTTTTATTTTATAAATCAGAATTAGAAAGCCTCTTCATTCAAAATGGTTTATCTAAAGTCTGTAGTGAAAATCAAACTGCTGACGTCATTAAGTGATTAAAATGACCGTGTCCAAACTCTCTGCATCCATCTGCTTGTCTCCCTGTAGTGTTGCATGACCCACCCAAACACTGAAGCTGGAGCGCGCTCACGCTGCACGCGGCAGTCTGTGCTGCATTCAAAGACAGTCTGTTATGGACATAATAGACGATAGGTAGATAAATACAGAGGTATCAAGTAACAAATGTACAAATACTCCATTACCTTACTTGAATAGTAATATTTTACTATCTATGCTTTACTGGAGTAATTATTTTTAGACAACTTTTTACTTATCCTTACATTTTAAAAATAGTCTCTTTAGTTTTGTTTCATTTAAGGTCATTTTCATCCTGGCCTGTTGGTGTTTAAAAGAAATAAAAACCATCAAATAATTAATCTCTTTGTTGTTGGACTCGGTGCTGCCCCAACTTGTTTCTCACCACATACCAAAATAAATAGTTTATCCAGATGATACAAAGGTAAATGTGACACTGTTACCATTAGTAATAAAACTAAGAAAATGAAGTCTAAGGAAGTTATCATCTAGAATCATAGAAAAATGTTCCTTTAATAGGGTAGAGCAGTAAAGATTCTGGCCTGAACAGTTTTTCCTGCACAAATTTGTTTATACTTAAAAGAATTGTACTTTTACTGGAGTAAAAAGGTGAAGTTGATCCCCCAACTTCTACAAAAGTAATAAACATTATGGATGGATGGAACATTAGTTTCCTGAAAGAAAGAAAGAAAGAAAGAAAGAAAGAAAGAAAGAAAGAAAGAAAGAAAGAAAGAAAGAAAGAAAGAAAGAAAGAAAGAAAGAAAGAAAGAAAGAAAGAAAGAAAGAAAGACAGACAGACAGACAGACAGACAGACAGACAGACAGACAGACAGACAGACAGACAGACTAATCGTGGTTAGAATGGAACATTAGTTTCTTCTCTGGGTGTAGAAAAATCCGGATGGACCATGAAGGCAGCAGCAGCGGCGGTCCGGATGGGCCGTGAAGGCAGCAGCAGCGGCGGTCCGGATGGGCCGTGAAGGCAGCAGCAGCTCTCCTCTCTAACTGTATCGATGAAGTTGCTTCAAAGATGGCGGACTTCCTGCCGTCCCGCTCCCTGCTATCGCTCTGTTTTCCTAACTGTTTCCTCACGAGCGGAGAGGCAGAGCAGCTGCGGAAGTCTAAGGAGATAGATAAATGCATCCACCGAGATAAAACCTACGTTAAAAGGTTAGTAAAGATCTTATTGCTGGGAGCGGGAGAGAGCGGCAAGTCCACGTTCCTCAAACAGATGCGGATTATCCACGGAGAGGACTTCGACCAGAAGGCCAGGGAGGAGTTCAGGGCCACCATCTACAGCAACGTTATTAAAGGTGAGGCTGCTGGGCTAACAGATGTGCTAACGGGCTGTGGTGGGTGGGTGGGGTCCCTGTGAGCGGCTCAGACAGCCGGGGACACGCCCTTAGATCCACGGACAGAGTGATGGAGCCACGCGGGGATTTCTCACTTCCACGGTTTGACTCCAGCAGGGTTCCTCACGGCTGCTGCTGGAGCTCCACGCCCCTTGGTACGCTGAGATCACCAGACTGATCCACTGAACTAAAGCTCCTCCATGCAGGGCCGGGGTTAGGAAATGTGGGGCCCCAGGGGGCCCTCTGAAAACAGCCCCATTCTACGGATAGAGAAATGTTAATAGAATAGACATCCATTATCTGTTCTAGGTTGTGTCCCTCTCTTCTTGTCCCTTTTCTTCTTGTTTTCCTCTCTATGTTTTGTACTCAGCTGACTTTTCATGCTGTCTCTAAAGGAATGAAAGATTTTTTCCAAGCACTAAGCTCACTTAGCTGATTGCTCCTTCCTGTGTTTCCAAAAAGGCCAAAGTAAATAACCCAGTCCTTCTTTTCACTGTAGACAAGCCATGATCTGCTTATCTGTTCTCCATTTTTCATTTGGATGAAATAATAGCTGCATGAATCATGACAGCAGACAAGATAGAGGAGAGCAGGAGGCGGGGTTACCAATCTACTCGCTCTGGAGAGCAGAGTTCGCTGCTTTTAGATGTTGTCTCCAAAGTCTCCAGTAGCAGAAAAAAGTCTCTAGATTTGGCGCTAGGAGCTTTTTAGAAATCAAAGTGCTAGAGGGGTCTGAAAAGTGGCTAAATATAGCGACTAAAGCGCTAAGTTGGCAACACTGCTCTGCATGGTTTGTTTTCAAATGGTTTGCTGCTGTCTGTTTGGACCTTTCTGAACATGTGCAGCAAATGGACTGATCCAATATGGTGGACACTGAAGGGGGGGGCTGAGACACACTTAATATTATCAGCGTTCTGATGGCATTTTAGCCAAAGGATTTTTATCAGAAACATAATTAATGTGCAGAAATAAGTTATAGTTGTATTAACCATACATGTAAACAGAGTTTTATGGGGCCCCCAGGAACTTGGGGCCCTAGGCAGCTGCCTAGTATTGCCTGATGGTAAATCCCCTGCTGCCTCCATCTGGCCAGATGTTTGTTTCCTGTCTTCCTTCCTCCTCATTGGTTGGTTTTACGCTAGTTTCTGCAGAATCCCAAACCCTGCATCATTCAGCAGCAGGATGCTGAGAGATTCAGTGATCTGCTAGCTAACAGAGGAGCAGGAGAGACGCTGCAGCTTCTATCACTGCAGCTCTATCCAGGGGGTGCTGTCAATATTTTTTTTTTGTTCTTTTTGGACAAAACAGTATGAGCTACGGTTATCAGATGTCCCTGATTTCTAAGGACAGTCCCCGTTTTGGACCATCTGTCCCCAGCTAAAGCCGCCCCGGAAATGTCCTCAATTTTACGGTTTTATGAATGAAGTAGGAGTTGATTCTGCTGGATAGATCAGAAGCAACTGACGCGGTGCGTTCAGTAGTATCATGTAATTTAGCAAGTTGACCCGGGTCTGGTGTTCCCCCAGCATGCCGATCAGAGCCGAGGTGATTTTAACGCGGGTTGCCTGTTGAGTCGTTTGACCCGGGCAGACACGCGTCACTGAGCTGTTCCCACAGGCTGATGGACCGATGGTTCGCTGACAGGCTGATTAATCAGCTGTCTGTCCTCAAAGACAGAAGTGCTGTCTCTGTTTTTAGGAACCTTGGACCTCTGGCTGCCTGTTTCCCTGCGTTCTAACGTCTCTTTGAGGTTTATTTCAGGAACGTATCAGAGCGCCGTTCATGGCGTGTATTTCAGGCCTTCCTGCTGTGAGCTCAGCAGCTATTGGTGTCAGAGGCGACTCATAGGTGTCCAAGCTCGGCGCTGCTGTGAGGTCGCTTTGTATCGTCTACGACAGACCCCTGCTGGTTACAGGCTGTTTGAGCCGCCTGAAGCTCAGACCATCTATCAGAGCCACATGATCTGCCTCAGGCCCGCTGCCTCTCAATATGGGAAGACATTGAGATGAGGCGGCGGGGCATCATCAGGGCTGCAGGGCGGCTAGGGGGTCATCAGGCCGGCGGGGGTTCATCAGGCCGGCGGGGGTCATCAGGGCGGCTAGGGGGTCATCAGGCCGGCGGGGGTTCATCCAGACGGCGAGGGTCATCAGGGCGTCATCAGGGCGGCTGGGGGATCATCAGGGCGGCTGGGGGGGTCATCAGGCCAGTGGGGATTCATCAGGACAGCGGGGGTCATCAGGGCGGTGGGGCGTCATCAAGGCGGCAGAGCGGGGGGTGATCAGGGCAGCGGGGCGTTATCAGGGTGGCAGAGCGGGTGGTAATCAGGGCGGCGGGCGCGTCATCAGGGCGGCAGAGCGGGGGGTGATCAGGGCGGTGGGGGAATCATCAGGGTTGCAGAGCAGGGGCTCATCAGAGCGGCGGGGGCTCATCAGGGCAGCTGGGGGGTCATCAGGCCGGCGGGGGTTCATCCAGACGGCGAGGGTCATCAGGGCGGCTGGGGGGATCATCAGGGCGGCTGGGGGGGTCATCAGGCCAGTGGGGATTCATCAGGACAGCGGGGGTCATCAGGGCGGTGGGGCGTCATCAGGGCGGCAGAGCGGGGGGTGATCAGGGCGGTGGGGGGTCATCAGGGCGGCGGGGGAGTCATCAGGGTTGCAGAGCAGGGGCTCATCAGAGCAGCGGGGGCTCATCAGGGCGGCTGGGGGGTCATCAGGGCGGCTAGGGGGTCATCAGGCCGGCGGGGGTTCATCCAGACGGCGAGGGTCATCAGGGCGGCTGGGGGGATCATCAGGGCGGCTGGGGGGGGGGTCAACAGGCCAGTGGGGATTCATCAGGACAGCGGGGGTCATCAGGGCAGCGGGGCGTTATAAGGGTTGCAGAGCGGGTGGTAATCAGGGCGGCAGGGCGGCTAGGGGGTCATCAGGCCGGCGGGGGTTCATCAGGCCGGCGGGGATCATCAGGGCGGCTAGGGGGTCATCAGGCCGGCGGGGGTTCATCCAGACGGCGAGGGTCATCAGGGCGTCATCAGGGCGGCTGGGGGATCATCAGGGCGGCTGGGGGGGTCATCAGGCCAGTGGGGATTCATCAGGACAGCGGGGGTCATCAGGGCGATGGGGCGTCATCAGGGCGGCAGAGCGGGGGGTGATCAGGGCAGCGGGGCGTTATCAGGGTGGCAGAGCGGGTGGTAATCAGGGCGGCGGGCGCGTCATCAGGGCGGCAGAGCGGGGGGTGATCAGGGCGGTGGGGGAATCATCAGGGTTGCAGAGCAGGGGCTCATCAGAGTGGCGGGGGCTCATCAGGGCGGCTGGGGGGTCATCAGGCCGGCGGGGGTTCATCCAGACGGCGAGGGTCATCAGGGCGGCTGGGGGGATCATCAGGGCGGCTGGGGGGGTCATCAGGCCAGTGGGGGTTCATCCAGACGGCGAGGGTCATCAGGGCGGCTGGGGGGATCATCAGGGCGGCTGGGGGGGTCATCAGGCCAGTGGGGATTCATCAGGACAGCGGGGGTCATCAGGGCGGTGGGGCGTCATCAGGGCGGCAGAGCGGGGGGTGATCAGGGCGGTGGGGGGTCATCAGGGCGGCGGGGGAGTCATCAGGGTTGCAGAGCAGGGGCTCATCAGGGCGGCTGGGGGGGTCATCAGGGCGGCTAGGGGGTCATCAGGCCGGCGAGGGTTCATCCAGACGGCGAGGGTCATCAGGGCGGCTGGGGGGATCATCAGGGCGGCTGGGGGGGTCATCAGGCCAGTGGGGATTCATCAGGACAGCGGGGGTCATCAGGGCGGTGGGGCGTCATCAGGGCGGCAGAGCGGGGGGTGATCAGGGCGGTGGGGGGTCATCAGGGCGGCGGGGGAGTCATCAGGGTTGCAGAGCAGGGGCTCATCAGGGCGGCTGGGGGGGTCATCGGGGCGGCTAGGGGGTCATCAGGCCGGCGGGGGTTCATCCAGACGGCGAGGGTCATCAGGGCGGCTGGGGGGATCATCAGGGCGGCTGGGGGGGGTCAACAGGCCAGTGGGGATTCATCAGGACAGCGGGGGTTATCAGGGCAGCGGGGCGTTATAAGGGTTGCAGAGCGGGTGGTAATCAGGGCGGCAGAGCGGGGGGTGATCAGGGCGGCGGGGGCTCATCAGGGCGGCTGGGGGGGGTCAACAGGCCAGGGGGGATTCATCAGGACAGCGCGGGTCATCAGGGCAGCGGGGCGTTATCAGGGTGGCAGAGCGGGTGGTAATCAGGGTGGCAGAGCGGGTGGTAATCAGGGTTGCAGAGCGGGGGCTCATCAGAGCGGCGGGGGCTCATCAGGGCGGCTGGGGGGGTCATCAGGCCAGTGGGGATTCATCAGGACAGCGGGGGTCATCAGGGCGGTGGGGCGTGATCAGGGCGGCAGAGCGGGGGGTGATCAGGGCGGCTGGGGGATCATCAGGGCGGCTGGGGGGGTCATCAGGCCAGTGGGGATTCATCAGGACAGCGGGGGCTCATCAGAGCGGCGGGGGCTCATCAGGGCGGCTGGGGGGTCATCAGGGCGGCTCGGGGGTCATCAGGCCGGCGGGGGTTCATCCAGACGGCGAGGGTCATCAGGGCGGCTGGGGGATCATCAGGGCGGCTGGGGGGGGTCAACAGGCCAGGCCAGTGGGGATTCATCAGGACAGCGGGGGTCATCAGGGCGGTGGGGCATCATCAGGGCGGCAGAGCGGGGGGTGATCAGGGCGGCTGGGGGATCATCAGGGCGGCTGGGGGGGTCATCAGGCCAGTGGGGATTCATCAGGACAGCGGGGGTCATCAGGGCGGTGGGGCGTCATCAGGGCGGTGGGGCGGGGGGTGATCAGGGCGGCTGGGGGATCATCAGGGCGGCTGGGGGGGTCATCAGGCCAGTGGGGATTCATCAGGACAGCGGGGGCTCATCAGAGCGGCGGGGGGCTCATCAGGGCGGCTGGGGGGTCATCAGGGCGGCTAGGGGGTCATCAGGC